TGGAGTGCTGCAGTCCCTGGCTTTTATTGGAGTTCCTCACCGCAGAGCCCTCAAGGAGAGATGCACTTCAGATTTTGGGGTTCTTTTAAATCTCTTTCAGTGAAATGTCTCTCAGGTCTTCAAGAAGCTTGTACATTGAAGCTTGTACATCGAAGCTTGTATCTATGTCAAAGTTTAGATATAAATTATTCAAAACATTAAATGCCATTTTGGATTGAAATCAAACCTGAGCATCAGGGGGTTTATGGGAGTTCAGCTCTGTTTCTCCACTTTCCTTTCTGCCTTCCCTCTCATCTTCAGTACCCTCTATTGCAGCCTATTTATTTCCTTACCCACACACACTAGCTTCACACCTAAAAATGCAAATAGGCAATGGGACAGGCTGAGACATTTTTGACAGCAGTGAAGGAAATCCTTCTGCTCTGAGACCCTGTGCAGTAGCCCCCATAGGCAGAAGGAGCAACTACAACTGTTGCTTCTGAAGCCCTGGACATGGCACTGCTGCTCCTGCTGGGGCTGGGCTGTAGAACACACCAGCTGGAGCAGGAATTCCCTGGAGGGCACCTGCAAAGAACGTTTTGCCTCCTGACTGGAAACCCTGAGTGTACCCGTTTGCCCCTTTCCCCCAGGATTGGGCAGATGGTCACAGGCGAGCCAGAGCCACACCACAATTGCAGGACTGGGTCTCCAAAAAGTCCAAAATTCACACGGCTCCGGTCATCTGCCCACAAAGTCAATAAAACGGTTTAACACCAGGCAGACCAAATTTCCTCTGGCTTACCCACTGAAAAAAACAGCCCACCAAAATAATAGACAGCCATGAAAGACATTGCTGAATCCCGTTGCTCCCATTACAAGCTGGTCGTGCCTGTGCCACCAAGGAAAAAAGCCCTTTCTGCTCTTAACAAATCTATGCGCCTCTTGCAAAAGCATTTTAACATCTGAGTTCCCCTTGTCTTCTCCACGTGGTTCCCAGTCAGAGTCTTCACCACCAAATGTGTGCTCTGTGTGCCTGCAAAGGAGGGGAAAAAGGGGAGAGGTTTTGACTACTTTCTATGTGAATTGTTGAACCAAATGCAGACGAGAGATTTCGAAAGGAGTTGCTGCTTCAGAGGATAACCGGTCCCAGGGCACAGACAGGCTTCCGGAACTGGATTAGCTCTACTTTATAGGAAAACACACACAAGAAGCTTCCCAACTCCCTTGCTTCCAGCCTACAGTCCTTCCCTTCAGCTTCCCTCAAACCCACACAAGTGCCCCAGGAGCAGATTCAACTCTCTAAGTCAGCAGAAACCCACTTCCCTTCTCTTTTTCCTTAGCTCGCTCCCAGGTGAACCAACCACATCAGCCCAGACACCACACCGAGTGCCAGGGTAACACCAGGTAAGCAGCACTAGAGCCAGGAGCAGGGTAGGGAATCACCCCTCTCTGGCAACAGTCACCTCTTACATCAGTTCAGCTCATCCTACAGAAACAAAGCTGTACTTAACAGGAATTGAACTACTAAGAATTATGCTAAAAATAATAAAGTTCCACATTCTGGTAGGAGGCACGATACCAAAACCCAACAGAGCTACAATTTCAGAAAGCAATGTTTTGATAAAGGTGATGTCAAACAAAAAGATCTCAAATGAAGGCAAACAAAATTCCCTACACAAGACATGGATTATCAGTTAACGAAACCACAGTCACAGAAACTACGCCCTGTAGTACTTCCTCAGTGCAGTAAAAATGGGATGGCGGAACAATCACCCGTCTCTGCCTGCCTGACAAGCTTCAAAAGACAATTAAAGCTCAACTTAGAGCCTTTGAAACATCAATATTTATCCCTAGAAAAGTCAAAAGAAGTTTCAACAGCTGCAAGGTCAATCAAGTAGAAAGGATGACTAAAATGCCTATGAAAAAGCACACAACTAAAAGGCACAGTTTCAGTAGCAGCAAAGCTGTAAAAGAATTGAGGCTTCCCAGATCACCCCAGCAAAGGGAGCAAGGACACAGACATGGAAAGAAGAGATGTGTGTTTAGGACGCTGCAAAATGGGAATTCATCAGACTCTAGGTTCATCTGTTCTGGACACATCCTCTTCCAGCAACACACAGAAGCACCATCAGAAACCAGACACCGGAACATGGCTGACAGCAGTAACAGTCACGACATGTTCCCCAGAGATGCCTACAGAATCTGAGGGCTTCAGCGTGAAGCACTTGAGCTGTAGGTACACGTCTTCCCTCACCAAAACCAACTCACAAGCCAAGGGGCTGGGGAGCAGATAATCGGGCTTTTTCTTTTTCAAAATGAGATGTCAAGCAACGCGCACCCTACGGAGTCCTGCATCTTCATCTGGCAACTGTCTGAAGCCATAAATGACAAAGAACTGAAAGAAGGAGACATGGTGCAACAGATCTTTGCAGGAACCGATTATCTCACTGTTTGAATTTCAGTAAAGGGGGCAGGAAAAGGAGGCATTTCTTTTAGAGAGATGCTGAAAAACTTCTGCGGGGTCAACCCACACACGATGAATGACCTGTAAGAGGGTAAATGAAGTTCAACCTTTATTAAACCATAGTAAAGATTTCCCCCTCGGCCCCCAAGATACACTGATATAACCATATGAACAAAAGAAACAGACCTGCAATCAGCTCAGAATACGCTTTTAATCAATATGCACTGACAATTAGAATGGCAATTTCATTCCATGAGACACAAGTCTTTCTAAATGAGAAAAGAAGTAACTACAAGACAAAAACAAATAAAGCAACTGCCTCATTTATCTCCAGGAGTATTTCCTGAAACTGGACAGGACAGGGCAGTGTCTTTTTCACCATCAAACATAACTCTTCTACGCTTTGCTGTCCACCCTACACAATCACATTCTTTGCAACAGTGAAAACAGAAACACAAAAGGCAGAAGTGACCTGTACTACAGCAGAACTAGTTTTCACCCTTCCTAGTGGGTGTCATTCTGGAGGAGAATATTTGACAGAAACAGAAGGTAAAATTCAAGAATTTTCCTGACATGTAACTGCAATCAGAAAAGCACTCCCACTTTTAGTCTCTAAACCAGACTTTAGGTGAAGCTAAATTACATGACAAGTAAATTTACTGAGATTGTCTGCTAAAATAATCTCACTCTTAGAAGAGTGTCTGTGCCTTGTTACAGATTCGTCGACCATCCAACAAAGCAGTAACTCCATCTCCCCATTCACTTCAGCAGTCTCCTGAGGAGACATCTCTGGACATGGGAACAGAAGTTCTCTGTTTTACTTAAACTTCCAATGAGAATTCTGTAATATTAACATTTGAGCTATTTATAGGGGCAACATAGCTTCATGGAACAAAATAATTAAAAACCCAAACGTCATCTCTCTTTCATACCCCCACTGAAAATAGTGTTACAGCTGCTGATTATGTCTCGGGACACACTAAGAGCTAAGCATCCCAGATAACATTTCATCTTCTACAGCAAACTTGCACTGGTGCTACTGAGAAGAGACACGATACTCTTGACTCTGCATACTCGATTTGAGAGCCAATGGCATGAACAAGTTACTCATTACCTTTCTTGTGACTAATTCCTTATCATCTTCTCCAAGGCCTCTTTGAAAGCTGAACTTGGGTGGGAGGCCAGATATTTATAAAAGTACTGCTTTAAGCCAAGAATCCATATTTGAGGTGCACTAGAGAGTTTCCAAGGAACAGCGAAACAGGAGGACTCGCAGCAGCAGGACTGTATATATTGACCCATATCCTCTTCCCTTTGAGTCTCTGTAGTTCATAGAATCATAGAACAGTTAGGGTTGGAAAGGACCTTCAGATCATCTAGTTCCAACCCCCATGCCATGGGCAGGGACACCTCACACTAAACCATGTCACCCAAGGCTCTGTCCAACCTGGCCTTGAACACAGCCAGGGATGGTGCATTCCCAACCTCCCTGGGCAACCCATTCCAGTGCCTCACCACCCTTACAGTAAAGAACTTCTTCCTTATATCTAATCTAAACTTCCCCTGTTTAAGTTTTAACCTGTTACCCCTTGTCCTGACACTACAGTCCCTAGTGAAGAGTCCCTCCCCAGAATCCTTATGGGCTCCCTTCAGATACTGGAAAGCTGCTATGAGGTCCCCACGCAGCCTGACAGTCCGCACCACAGGACTTTTACTTCAAATTCTAAAATCTCCAGCGTAGAGGCTCTGCTGTGGAAAACACATGGAGACAGTAATGCTTCCAACAGGCTACATACAACAAACATAAAATAAGGAAAAGAGCCCAAACCAGCCCAGACAAACTGCTAATTGTTATCGCCATACTAACCACTGCAGAGAAATACAATGCACAAGTCCATCCCAGCTTGCCAAGTTGCAAATGATTGTCCAAAATAGCAACTGAAAGCAATCTGTAATCATTCTCTACAAAAATACTTCTCTGTCAGCTCAGCAGACATGTAAAGCTTTGAATTAGACTATTTCCCCCCTACAGATACCTTTTGCATTATCTAAAAGGATTGCTAAGACCTTTCTCTTCAGAAGAATTTTTCCACATGCTTCTTTGCAGGCAGAAGTCACTTCTAATTGTTCATCCATTTGGCAAGTTTTTCCATCATCCACATTGTGCACTTGGAGTAACATTATCAAGTGAGGAAAAACACTATTTTTGATAGAAAGAAGCAGCTCCACTCTAAAAAGCTACAGCACACCCGTTAGACATGTGCAAATGCTGCAAAGAATTAAGACAAAATTAAGACAAAGAATTAATACAAAAAATAGTTTATTTTCCACTAAGAGATCTCAACAGAGACACTTCAAACTCATCAGAAAAGAGCTTTAAAATAACATACAAGACCGCAAGGTAAAACATACATCCAGCCCTCAAAAAGAGCTGGAGACGTCTTCAGACAAGATGTACTTCCTAAAAAAAATTTGAATACTGGTGAAAACCCATTTATATTTAATACCTGAATTTTTTTTTCCAGTTCTCCAAATGAAGGCCTTCTCTCCCAAAGTCCTCCCAATACCAAGACTCTTTGCCTAAACAATGAGGCCTCTCATCTCATTACAACATTTTACAGTAAAAATATTTGAAACACTAGTAGGCATCTTCCACCTCTCCTAAAAAAAGAGGGAAAAGCAGCACCATTGGACATTCAAAGGAAGTGAGGTGAGCTAACAAATGCAAGGGTTTGTTTGGATTAGCAGGGTTCCAGCACATCACTGCCATGCTGCTTTTCAAGTGTACGAGGGCTCAAGCTCACTTACGCACAGTGCAAGAAAGCTACTGATTCCCAGCAGTAGAAATCTTCTTATATTTGTATATGAAAGCATCTGTCTTTCCAAGACTAACCCCATAGACACCATCTAGAACCAGAGATCCAAAACATGTCTGTCTCCTACTGAGAAAGGATTCTTGAACACCATTCACCACGGAGGAAGAATTTCCATCAGCATGCAGGGCTTTTGCAGTGGTGGTTTCACTTGTGCCATCAGAAATGGCACGAGGAGAGTCATGTTCAGCACACTTGGTAATGTCATCCACGCGCTTGTGGAGATCATGGCTCAGCAGCAGTACAATAGTCCCTCCAACACAAAGTAGCCTCGAAATTGCAGGAAAAATAGAGGTTAGGTGTTATCCTGCCTCACCTTCATTCATCTGGGGAGAACTCAATACTGCTGACACCTCAGATGTCAGCTGCATTTGACAGAACACCTAAGCATATTAAGGGTCATGGCTCAACTCAGTAACCTACATCTCCAAATGGAATTTAAATCCCTAACTTCATAACTCCTCCCAGATTGGAGAACTGGACCCTGTCCAGAAAGCAGATTAATACTAACCAGTGATTGTAATCCATTTTTTCTCGGTACATGACCAAGCATTACATCTGGCTTAGAGAGAGAGAGGCTGGGGAAAGACTATCCTGGCTCTGTTCACTGCAAGTGGATTAAACAGTCTTGCTGATGGAGCTCTTGTGATAATGGTCCCATCCTCACCTCCCCTTCCCACAGAAATACTTTGGTTAGGATGGCCCAGCAGAGCAATGACACCAGAAGACAAGCATGGCCAAAGGGAGGGCTGGTCAACACAAGATTATGTAAGATTGCCCTGCCATTCTATGGAGCTACCTCACCTTCTTCACCACCTTCCCACCACATTTTGGTACTGGGTAAGTGAGATCAACACCCACTGAAGACCAGCCCGACAGAAAGGGTTTCTTTTCAGCCAAGACATAAAGAGCCAGATAGATGGAACTGCCTGTTAGAAGCAATCCACTATTCATTTGGTTCAACTCTGCCACAAAATGACAGGATGAGGGATGAACAGAGGCATCTAAAAGCAGACCAGGTGGCTAGCTGCATATTCCAGTACACGCTGACAGAAAGGAAAAAGCACATCACCATTTTCTGGTCTGAGATCCTTCTTGCCAATGCAGGCTGGCAAAAGCTTGGTTGTGAACCCAAAAGGAAAACCTATGATATTATACAAGCAGACCTCTGGGAAAGGATTATTGCTTTATTTTCCGGGCCACGGTGATCCTCTTCTCTTTCTCCTTTCTGACTTGTAAAGAACATTCGTGACATGCCACACTCACACCACACACTCATTCCTTGTCAGCTTGCGCTGCTATCAGCACTTCCACAGCTTGCAACACAAGCCACAACAGCCTCCAAGAGACAAGGAAAGGACTCAGACCTTCACAAACTGCCCAGGATGAACTACAGAGCTGGAGAGTGTTTGGAGTAGAGCAAACATGAATCTGAATGAGCATTTAAAATTGGAAACCATCAAGACACTTACACAAACTCCAAGCATATCAAAGGCCACACATACCTCTCCATTTCCTGGAGAATATCTGGTAGGACCTCTATGTCTTTTGTGATCTTGAACTTCTTCCCAAATGGAATATCTGAAATCACAGCGTCGAAGCTTTCTGAAGGCAATGGCAGTGCTGGAGAACAAAGGCAGGTCTTTACATCTGACTATATGAACAATGGGCAGCATCTATGCCCCCATGCACCTTACACAGCTGTCTGCCAGCTCTTACGTGGATCATGGACCCAGACTCACAGCTCCTTCTGTACTTATCCTCACAAACTACACTTACAAAGTAAATGCAGACTGGGAAGAAACAGATGCAAGATAGCGTGGTTTCACTTGCAGATTCCCTGCTCCTGGTGGTATGTGTGTTACTGGTGGTGTGAGAGTAAGACAGGGATGGCACGGTTCCAAACTAACTTCTGCCTCTCAACACACCTGTGCATCTTTGCAAACCAAATGCAAAAGAGTTAAGCTTGCAAACACTTCACTTAGTGCAGATGTTCAGATACATACGTATGAACGACAAGGAACGACACGTTAAATTTCCAAACATACCCTTTTTATTCCCCCAAGAATCCGGTTACGGCCAGAATCACTTGGATTCTATTGGATTTAGGGTCTATGAATTACCTCCCCAGAGTTTCTGCATTCTTGGAACAGTCAGCTCCCTTGACCACAAGGCAGCACTGCACCCTTGTGGTGATGAAGGCCAGCCACACGCAGGCTGCGCTGGCCAGAGCATAGTCTGCATATAAAAGGGTAAGACTATGGGCTCTCCATCCCTCAGGATGCTCAAACTCGACTGGACAAGGCCCTGAGCAATCTGACCCAGCTTTGGGTTCTTATTAATAAGAAATAATGTTTCTTGCACTTCTGGTAAGAAATAAATATTGCAAGGGAAAAAAAAATGTGCATATTACATCACCCCCACACAGGGAAAAACACCCAGCTCTTGTCTGTCATGGATTTCATACAGGCCTAATTTAGATTCAGGCTCTGAGGTCCAAATAAGGTCATAAACTTACTACCTTCTCCCCAGACTAGCTCAGGAGCTGAGAGCAAGCAGATTTCCAATTCCAGAAGAAAGGCATTGTCATCTAAAATACTCCTACTGCAAAACATTGACAATTCAACATTGAGTGCCCCCTACTATTCATCTGGTAAATTTAAGTTGCAAGCCACATTTACCTGGATTTGTCCTCACTGTGTTCCCATTAGACAAAGAAACCCTTCTCACATGTATGTCGTCTCTGTGGTATTCACAAATTTACCATTATGACACAAAACTACTGCCCGTGTCTGACAATTATTCTTTTCAATGTCTTCTCTTGAGTTTATTCTTACCAAAGTTCCCAGAGGCGAGAAGGGGGAAACAAATAATTAGCCATTCACTGGCACTATGGAGTCACTACTCACATTGTTGAGTGTTAGCTGTACTTCACATGACCTCAAGAGAACCTCCATTACCTGCATGATTTCAGAACCACAAAAACCACTCCAAATATGTCTCGCTTGGAAAGCCTTTCACATACAACACACATACCTTTCACAGAAGCTTTAAGTAATTCAATCTTATCCACCAGGCCTGCAGTCCTAATATTCACACCTGCGCCCTCTAACTGTGAATCACTTATATCAGCACCCCAGTAACAGGCTTCCTGTTCAGAGAAAAAGAGAAACGTCATTTTGTTGACAAACAGGTGCATTTATTTTATAACCCCTTCTCAGAATTGCCTTGCTGTTACAGCTCTTCCCAGACAAAGCCCTTGCTGAGAGATCTCCTACCACTACGGAGACACAGAACACAGAGGAGTAGGGGAAATATGTGCTATCTACACCCCTTCCATATTCTGGTCTGATCAAAATACTTGTAACTTACAGAAATAGTGAGGCTATGTCCTAACAGCAAGACCCCACCTAGCTACAAACAGCCATACTGCTGCCTCTGACAACTGGCTGTCTAATACCTCGCATTGACACCTTTGATCCTAGGATAAGCCCAGGCAGTTTTAAAGGCTCACACAAACCCTGAGGTATAAATCCAGGCCTCCCAACACCTGCCTGCACAAATATGCTGCACTTGGATTTCCATTCCTGTGGAGGAACATTTGTACTAGATCACTTTACAACTGTCTGAAAAGATCAGTTTGCTTTACAGTAATGACTTTGGTGTAACTGCGGTACAGATTTTATTCAATGCAACTACAAGTCACCTTGCAAAGGTCCTGCCTGTTGCCACTGGGATACTCACAGGCCACTCTTTGGCAGCTTCCAGCAGTATCGTTCCCAGCCCACACATGGGATCCAACACAAAGGCACCAGCCTACAGAAATAATGGGGTTATTGCATGCCAATCAAGACAGACTCCTCTCCCAGGACAAAGCTTAATCAGGGATGTACACATCACCTACATACTCCCACTGAACCCAGTGCAATAATTACTCATTTACCAGGCCAAACTTGCCTGTAGGGACTATAGTAAAAGCATTAATAGCTTCACTAAATACAAGGCATCAACACATCCTGCCTTGAGGCGACATTTATAAAGAATATCAGTGGACTGCAGATAGATATTGGTATCAAATTATTCTCTGGGAAGCATCACACTTGCTTCTGTTTTCCTCTGGGAGAACAACCCAACAGGGTTTGAAGCCTAGGCAGTGGAAAAAAACGTGCCATTTACACATCTGTTTGCACAAGGAATAACACCTCTGCTGAAAAGGACCTGGGATTACAGCAGATATCTGGTCAAACAGCAGGTGACAGCACGCTCTGATCACAGATACGGCAAACCCTATGCATCTGGGACTCTACATCTTTGCCATGAACATTAATTTACACTGATTTCAGCCAGAGATGCCATGGCCCATGCAATTGTTGACCGCAGTCCTGCTGTCTTGATGTACTCTCTGTTTGCCAAAGGAAGCCTGCAGATAGCAAAAAAAAAAAAAATCAACATTCAGATAGCAGTACAACCACCCAGAAAAGCCTATGTAGTATGAACAAATGAACTAGACAGATCTGCAGGCAGACAGATAGAAACCACAGTCTGGCCTACATGCTCACATAAGCTCCACGCAGACCACAAGACTAATGCGATAGTGCAGTGAATAGTAAACCAGAAGATAAATGCTCACAGTGGGCACCAAGGGTATTTAGAAATCATTCCTGTTCTGACACTGACAAGACAAATCCAGTGAGGAGAATGCCTACCTGAAAAGAGGAATCCCCACCACAGAATGAACATCATTAAGATGTAGGAAGATCTGAAAGAGGAAACAGGTTACATCAGAAACTCTCAACCTGACACAACAACAGCTTTAACTCATGTGAACTAGATGTTCCTACGAACTTCTAACTGTAGTTTTTGATAACAAAAATATATGCTTCAGAAAGTTACGATTAATTGGAAGAAATCTCACTAGATAATCTGAATGAGGATTTAGCATTTAGGCAAGCTGTGAAGAGAATTCTGTCAGCTAGGAATCCATCAGCAAGCACTTAAATCTTTAAGGGAACGAATTTTTGTAACACCGAATGGATGTTTTTACTCATAAAAGCATTTACTCTAAGCAGGGAGGTTGGAACTAGATGATCTTTTAAGGTCCCTTCCAAACCTAACCATTCTATGATTATTCGCTGCATACTAGTACTCAGGTGTTCAAGTACACCCCTCCTAATTTAAGGAAAAAAAACCAACCACCTCCCAAGAAAAACAAACTAAAACCAAAATAAACACAAACAAGAAAACAAAAAACACACCAAAACACACCCCATGAGTGCTACTAAGCGGAACTTTAGATGGAAAGCATGAATGCAATCCTTTGAGAAATGTAAGCAGCTCAAAGTAATTGTCCTCCTGCCCCATAGAGAGCATCCCAAAAGATGACTGAGCTCCCCAACAGGTCTTGCATGACTACAATCCCTCCATCCAGAAAGCCCAAAGAGTGATACTTTTGCAATACCCCAGACCTCAGCGTTTGAATGGTTTCAGAGCAAAAATCTGGACAAGAAAAAAATCCCCACTTGAAGATCAATAAAGCTGTTATTTAATGCACAGCCTGGGAAAACCAGAACCAGTGGAACCCAGAGCTCTTACAGAGGGCCTCACATCTCCCAGCATCAGTGCTGAGAGCAACTTCCATACACCAAGCACAGGGATGGAGAACCACCTTTGGCAAGAGCTTTTGACAGCAATGAATCCTTTCCCAGGTCTCCACACAGCTTGCACTGTACAGAGTGCCTTAAGCAAGCTGCTTGTCAGAAACAGGGTCTAGGAGGAGGTTCTTCCATGAACAGCATTCTTAAGTCAAGTTCCTCAAGAACATGACTTTACTGCTTGCCTACAGAGGCTGCAAGGTGGCCCAATGGCTCAAAATCTCCATTTTCAACAGTCATAGTCCAGCTGTTGTTAAGCATGCTGGATCCTGAAACATTGCCTATACAGATTGTTTCCCTGACTCACAGGCCCATGATGGCCATTCTCATCGTTATTTAAGCGTTCTGTAAGGCACACACACAATGGCTACCAAGAAGCTTTGCTCAACACTACCAGATCAATTGTAGTTTAATTCAGCAGCAGGAAGACAAACAGGACAGGAAGAAGCCACGGCTGTGAGTGCAAAGGGAGCAGAGAACAAAACAAAAGAGATCAGGGGCAATGCTGGAAGCAACAACAGGCCCTCTGGAGGACAAGCACACTACCTCTACATCAGGGTCCCGCAGATCAGCCCGCCAGCCACACTGCTTCATGAGCGTCACACCAACGGCTCTTCCAATCTCCTGCAAGGGGGAAGAACAGTTACAGGCCATAAAGATAACACAGTTGAGAAGATTACAGACCACAGACTGCAGAATCCTTAGAAACACCTGGAAAAAGAAAGAGGCTTTCTCCATCCCTAGGAGAACATTTCATACAAAGACCACAAGACGTACAACAGGCCAAAGTGAGAGAGACGGGCAAAGAAAACACATCTCTGGACAAAATGACTATCCCTCAGCTGGAGGGCAGGAGGTTGAACATCAAGTACTGCCCAAACTACAACAAATGTCATCATTTTAGACTTTTCTTTCACACACAGAATTCCTAATGCTGCACTAAATTACCTAAGAGAAGACCTGTGAATGCACAACTGCAACTCACAATTTTCATGTTTTTATGGCATCTGTAGAAAGCTCTGGCTATCTTTTGAATATGAGACACACAGCACAAATTTAAGCAAATATTCATGTTGGCAGGCTCATGTGTCCCACTTTCCCAAAGTACTTCAGTAGGAAAGAAGAATAACCTAGTTTAACTACTGTTATCTTCAAGTAAGAGAAACCTATATAAACTGCAGCTACACATGGTTGTTTGGGGCTTTTTTTCTCTTTTAATGTTCTTCATGCTAGAAAGGAATTAGGGAGAGAACTAGATGGAAAAGGCCCCTGGAAGTCTCTATGCAACCAGTCTCTCCAAAGGACCAAGATCCACTCCCCAACACATGTCCCAGGGCTGCACCACCCTCCTGGGGATCAGGTTCTCCTCAGTACTGAACCAGAGCACACAGAAGCTGCAAGCTCTGGGTTTTGCCCTCGTTTTACACTGAGAGGAGTCTGACTCCACTGTCCTTGCAATGGCCCTTTAAGTAGCTGTAAACGACTATAAGATCACTCCTAGGACTCCAGGGCCCCAGCTACCTCAACCTCTATACAAATCATTGATTTAAAAAATATTCAGAGAAACAGTGCCCAGTAATTAACAACAGCCCTTGTATTTTCACTTGCAGCAGGTAAATGCAGGTTAAAGGCTTTTCGAGAAAATACAAAAAAAAATGACATCAGTTTGTTATTGTAAAACATACAACTGAAATGACAAATAAACCACACATCTCCCTTCACTTTTGCTAAATTCTGTTAAAACTTACATACTTCAGCATACCTGTGACGTAAGTACTTTGGCAACTGCTCCACTACAACGGCAAGAAACTCTGAAACTGAAGTTAAGCTGCTCATTTGCAATAGCTTTCTCTCCACTGCTTTTGGAAGAGGCTTCCAAGGAAGTCTCGCTTGCAGTCTGGCAGTCATCTGGTACCACACGCCTCTCTCCAGCTTCTGTCTGATGTTCCTCAGACACAGTCTCTCTCACTTGTTCTGTTTTCTGCCTTTTAGGTGCAGTATCTGTCTCTTCTGATTTTCTCTTGAGAGGCGATGGGTTTCCTTGAAAGACATCATCCTTTTTACCCTCACACCCATGAAGGTTTCTCCAAATAGAGATAACGTCCCGCCAATACGTTGGCTCCTCAATGAAAAGGCTTTTAATGTCATGCAGCATTTTCCCTGGATGAAAAAGCCGGTTTAGCTTAAGCAATTCAGGCTCAACACTGGATTTTCCTATGGATTGAGAACAGCTATTAACAGAGACTGTGTTCAAATCTCATTAATATTTGAATGCAGGAACTACAGCAGCAGCACATCACAGGCAGATCTGAGCTATCAACACCCACATCAACACCCACATACCCCCCCCCAGCAGAGACTCAGGCACCCCTTTGACTACCAGCTCTGCAGACCCAAGATGAAATCATCCAACACACATCTAAACTTACACCCATGCGTAGTCCCTTTGAGCTAGGGATGACAAAAGAGGTACCGGGAATACAGAGGCAAATTCACTTTAAAACCTTGAAGCTGGTCAAAAGTAAAGGGGGGTGAGGAAGGATTTCTATTTCTCATTTTAAATTTTACAATCCATTTTACAAGCCCATCTGCGATCTCCCATATTAAATCCCACCAACACGCAGAGATCAATCCGTCTAACTTGAAGCGCTTATTCCAGCACTGACACTGAATGAAATTCACACTGAATCTGTGTACTGAACACACACAAGCTGTGGACTGAAGTGACACAAGATACATGTCAGGACCACTTCCCTTCAAAGAAAATGGCTTGTTACAATGCAAAGGGTCCAGAACGGGACTTCAGTTTCAGGGTGAAGCGGTTGTTACATGCCTTACACATAGACATATATGCACGGGAGAACACGAGGTGGTAACAGACCTAATACAAACCCCTAAATCTCCCCTCTGGCAGCTCAAAGCCATTCCCCCTCCTCCTGTCACTGCCTGCTCTTGTAAGAAGTCCCTCTCCAGGTTTTCTTGGGTTTCTGTTCTACTTTACACGCACGACTGGTACCGGGGTTCCCGTTTTTGCCCACCCCCCTGAGCACACTGGAGGGAGGGAGGGGGGTCAGTGCCGTACCTTTATTTCTAGAAACCGCAAGCGCTGGGTGCTTCTTGAGCAGCAAGAACAGCCGCTCTCCAGACTTGAGCTTCCTCAGCTCGGCCGGGCCCGCCCCTGTGCTGAAGAACACCTTTCCCGAGATGCAGTCCACCTCAGGGGAAGAACAGAAACTGTAAACCACGCTGGGGATGGGCTTTGGGCGAGCACTCGGTCAGCTCACCGGGAGCGGCGAGGGTACACGCCCCGACCGAGGGGCAGTCATCGCTGCCCGCAGCAGGGGCCGCACCAGTCTCTCGAGGCCCCTTCCCGCCCAGTGTAAGCCCGAGACCAGACCCGTGGGGCCCCGCCCGATTTCGGGTCGCCGCGCTCCCCGCCGAGCCGCAGCGGTGCCGCCCGGCCCAGGCAGCTCCTCACCTCCGTGGCGCCGAGCCTCGCCCGCACCTCCCGCTCCAGGAAGGGCTCCAGCCCGCGGCCCGCTGTGCAGAAGTACCGCCCGCCCCCCGCAGACGCCATCTTGTCCCGCCCCGCGGCCCTCAGCGGACAGACCGGCCCGCCGCGGGGCGGCCCTACCGCGGTAGAGGCCGGCCGGGGCCGCTTCACCGCTGAACGCGTTTATCACCGTGAGGGGAGGGGGGAGCCCCGAGGGACCGGCAGTGCAGGCGGTGATGAGTGCGGGGCACTTCTCGCTCCTCTCGTTTCAGCAGGAGACCGCGCCAGCGCTGCTGACGGGCCCATGAAGAGCAGCATTGCTGTGGTGCAGGAGCCGCGTCCTCATCCGCACCGCTTGGGAGACAAAGCTGTAGGACTCGCTAGGAGTGATTCGAAGCCTACAGCCCAGGGGGAAGCCCCAGGAGCCAGCAGCTCCCCCCCCGCAGACAACCTTTCTCTGCTGCAGGATGCACCAGAGCTTTCGTTCTCCAGCTCCCGTGCTGTGTGGGGCAAAGTTCTCATGTCCCCTTCCCACTTACTTACAGAGGACCGAGTATGAAGTAACTCGGGTCTCATACACATAGGCCAGACTTCAGGTGGGTCCAAAAGGAAACACTACAAAAGCAGGAATAGAAAACAAATGCTTCACCAGGCAACATGCTTACCTTGGCAAACGGGAGAGCAGCTGCCAGGGCACTGCATCCTTCATCCCAGCTCAGCATGTGTAGAATGGCCCTGTGCTTGTGTGAGGGATGGAACTGGCACCTCTTTGGCAACACCAGTCTCACTCAGAGCTCCCCCCACCAGTGCCCACAGTGCTGATCTTTGATTCCCTCGTGACTGTTTTGAGCTCAGCTCTCAGTAGTGACACAGCAGACGAGCGTGTTGAAGTCCAGTCAGGTTTGGAGGGAGTTGCTTAAACAACCTCTCCGTAAAGAAGGCGGTGGGCAAGAATGCATAAAAGTTGTAACGCTGCTCAAAATCATCACCACAGGGGGTGTATTTATCTCCACCCCCACCCCCTGCAAAGAGAACAGGCAGATGCTATTTTCTGAGCAACTGAAGGTTTGGAAATGAGTTTCTAAGTGTGCCTAAGCCCTTCTCAGCATCACATTGTGAGGAGTCTGAGAGAGTGCTTTGGACCACACAGCTTTTAAGCTGCTTTCACACAAAATAGCTGTCACGTCCAACATCTCAGTGTATGCCCTGCCCAGCATTCATGAGCAGTAACTCTGGTAGGGGCAGCACATACGCTGGCAAAGCCCTCGAGACCTGTCAAGAGAACCCCCCTAGGGGTATACATATGAGGGGAAAGAAGTAATCACAATCACATCAGTGAGGAATCTGGACTTGCTGTAAAACAGCCACAGGTTCCTGATGCCAGGAATCTGGTTCAGTCCCGCTCCCTCCCTCCCTCCCAAAAAACACAGCTCACACACTGCCAAGTTTTGTGTGTGGTGTTTATTTTTTTTTTTGTAAATAAAAGACAGGTTCCAGGATCCTAATCATTACTGTGCTGTTTGTGCAGGACAAAAGAACTTCAAATACTAAAATGCACAAGGCAAGTTGAAACAAGCTGTTTCAAACTGCTCAGCAGTGCAGGCTCAAGCACTTATTTGCAATGGCTTTACTCTTTGTACAGTCTGTTCTATGTAGCAATGCCTGTATATAAAGAATATAGTACATACTATGGTTTTCATTGTCAATTTACAAGAGAAAAAAAAATAAATACTTTTCATTCTTATTATACATTAACACTTCAGTAGAAAGTTACAGCTGTTGTGTTGGCATGACCTGCAACTTCAGGAGGAAAAAGAACATGCATGCCTACCTATTAAGAACTCTAAACTATGACTTTGTAATAAATTACAGAGGATAGATACCAGCCAACAGAATACAGATTATCTGAATTCAGTACACTTGTGATTTTTGCTCTGAGAAAAAAACAAACAAACAAAACCAAACCAAAAATAATCTCGCAAAATACAAAAGCCAATAGCTTGCATTATGTAAATATAACAAACCATGTGTGGTAAAGCCTTTTCTTCAAATGTTTGTAAATGACAGGCCTGTGGTTTTAGGCAGAGAAGTAGCTGAGTTGGTCCTTGCACCCTTCACACATAACTAGCACCGTAAAGATGCAAGGACCTCAGCAAACACCTAAATTTCATGCTTAATAACTAAAGCATGCAATTTGCAGCGTTTGTGCATGCTTTATGCTCTGTTTATTAAGGTTATTGTGCAAAATAAGATTCTCAACCACTGAAGATGGTTCTCTTTGTTAAAATTATTAGCAACACTTCTGAAGGTTAGCAGGCCTGTGTGAGATTAATGAAAGGAAAATCGTACTTGTGGTTCACCCTTGACTGCTATATACAGACACTGTACCACTGAATTGGCAACGGAGAAAACAACAGCAGCAGCCTGAATGTCCTAAATGAAGTGGGAGAACAATGAGTTCATACACACTGCAGTTTACTTAAAAATATATCGATATTTTCCAGTGGCACAAAGCTTTGTACAGGTGGATCTGTCAGTGCAAATTCGTATACATGAGGTACCAATTTATTCAGGCCAGATCTAATTGTATGTATGTTACAATCACTGTCTTAATTTCCTGTTGTCAGATAGAGGCTGACAAGCTGTCACACTGAAATAAAATCAAAGTCAAAAGAATTTTTCAGCATATTCAATATCAGATCATTGTAAATTTTCCTACAATTTTGTTTCTGAACTTTCACTCCTCAGACTTTTTTATTTTTATTTTAAAAAAAACACACTTTGTGTTACTATTTCTTTTTCAAGATGTGAGACTTGATTATAGCAAAAGTTAAAACTATCTGTAAATTCAAACGATGACTATAACTGGCTGAATATTGTAACATTGGTTGAAATTTTAGTAAGTACTGTCAGGAAGGGCAAACGTAGTTATTGCTATTTGGGGACTTAAAAATAAACCAGACAAACCTGAAGGCATAGACAGCACTGTTCCAATGGTGAAAGTTAAATAGATACACACCAGCATTCTACCTAGAATCAGTCCTTTTGCATTTGAACACTCTTTAAGTTATCTACAGAGTTCTCTTCCAGGCAACTATGATGACATTTACATGGAGATACGGATTTAAAGTGGCTAACTGTGGGACACACACAGCTTTTCAGCTCTGGTAATTCTTTCTTGAGACGTTCCAGCTGCTCCACCTGGAATATGTTTGGTTGTTCAGGATTCGAGTCATATATCCTGAATAAATGAGAAAAGAAGAACCACTGATCAGTATAATCCAACAGCTCACAGAAATGCAGATGAAGCAACTGTTTTCATCTGCACAGAAATGCAGATGAAGCAACCGTTTTTTTTTTTCCCCTGATAGAGTAAAATTAGGTGTCAGCAAGTCTGTAAAAACGGTATGTCTGGGGTTAATGCCTTAAGTTTTGCTGCTCATGTTCCAATATAAAATGACATCCCTTTTGCATAATGGTTAATATTTTATTGGATATACTCAAGAGCAACCCACTGGCATCTACCTCACTCTCCTGAAAAATGTGATTTTACAGGTGGCACAAAGCAGTGAAGTAATACGAGCAACGTTCCAGGCGTCAAAAGCATAAAAGAAATTTCAGAGCCCTGAAATTATTTGAACATGCTGTGATACACTGCTTGTACATAACACAGAAGGCAGTTTGTACTTGCTGTTTCAATAAGTATTTTCACACACAGAGTTTAGAACCATTTTTTAAAATTACCACTACAACATGAGATGAAGAGTGAAAAAGAAAACAAAAAATCTGGTCTTCATTCATACTTAATGCAAATTTAACTACTTTCAATACTACATCCTCTTTTCACTTTCTTGTTTTCACACATGCAAAAAAGGCTGTAGGATTTGAACTGTCATCCTACCAGACTGTGCAAACCCAAAACACACTCTTGAGTTTGACAGTGCAGGCACTGAGCATAACTCAAATACTATTTTGGTGCAATTCAATATAAAGCAAAAGCATTCATGCTACTGTAATCTAACCTGGATTCAACACTTATTGTGACATCCTGATCTCCTGACATTAATTTCTAACATCATCAGGTTATTTATATCCAAAATCTAAATCCTGGCATCCAGTTACCCTCATGTGTAGCTACTGTGCACAGGCTCAGGTATTGCAGAACTCCAGGTTTATCTCCTTCAAATGAAAGCTTCTGGAAAAAGAGTCTTCTAGAGCCTTAGTCTTTTAGGAATATTCGTACTTCCACTTACGATTCCTTCAAGAAAGCGGTTTGGGTTTACTGCATCATCCTTTTTCTTTCATACCATAATTTCAAGGTAAGTCCAAAAGGAACAAAATGTCACAACCAAAACAATGGAGAGCTATGTGATATAGTGCCAAGGTGCCTCTTCTCCCCAGCAAGACAACTAGTGAACTGTTGGCAAGTCTACAACATCAAAAATAATGATGCAGCTCAAAGAGTGATATGGTAATGGATTTAAATGGGGAAACAGAGGGCATGGATCACATTCCATACAGTAAAATCAACGATAGTTTCTGTAAAGAAGCTCCTAGAAGTGAGGACAAATGCTGTCCAGTTTTATGGCACAGCATAAAATAACGTAGAAGGCACAGCAGTTAAAATTAGTTGCACAGCACCTATAACCCAGTACAAGCCTAAGATGTGACCCAAAATCACCTAATAGAAGTTACCTGCAAAGGAAAAGCCCAACCTTCCTTTCTTCCAGGATGCAGGTACAACCTGTGCTTTCTTCAGCTAAGTTAGCTTACCTATTACAAATTTCTTTGTGCATTTAAGACAAAGCACTGAAATTAGAAGATAGTTTTTATACAGTAACACAACTTGGGAACTGCAAATCTTACGTCTTTCCCATCAGTCAGACACTAGAAGAGCAAATGCATGTTTCTAAGCCCCTTGCTCCTAAAACATGGCTAACCAGGTTTGTAAGCAGCTGCTGGCAGGTATTTTATTAGTTCTTTGAGCATGGAACTGATGTACTTAGGTCCCATCAGGTGTTTTTGTCACCTCTGAAAACACACACTTCCAGCAAGTCCCAGTCACAGCTGGTTTTCTTCAGTATTGCTTGGTCCA